ATGTATGTATGTATGTATGTATGTATGTATGTATGTATGTATGTATGTATGTATATTCTCCGCCCCTCTCCCCTTTCTCTCCTGTCTCCTTTTTTCCGCCCTTTACCTGCCTGGAACTCCTCAGAGATCTGTCCACCTTAATGCTGGGATTAAAGGTGTGTGCCATCACGCCCACGCCCCCCCCTCCCCCCAGCTAAAACTTTTTTTTCTTTCGGCATAAAGCAATTGTTTCTGGGTTTAGTCTCCCAAAGTATTCACTTTAGAGCTTTGATGTATTCCAAACGCAACGATGTCACTAGCGAGTGACCGGGATGCCCAATACTGTACAAGCACCCAAAACGGTTTCACAGGCTCTGAGATTGAGAGCGGGACGGCTCCCGCGAACTTCCGGTCTATTTCCGGTGTCGCCATCTTGCTTCCGGTTTCCGAGGGGGTTGGACTGTGGCCTCAGTCCTGCGCCAGCCTGTCTGGACAGTCAGACACCTGCCTTCTGGTGAGTACGGCTGGGTTCTGCCTGCAGGGGCGGGCGCTGTGCGGTGTGCGATGGTGCGATCCCGGGAGCCCTGTAGAGTTCTCAGCCTCTGTCGCCCTCCGTTCTGAGGTAGCTGAGCCGACCCTCCTTGATGCTGCAAAACTTGTCTTCAGCCGTATCTGACCCCGGTGCCACAACTGCTAGTGTCCGGTTGTCTGGCAGTGACAGTCCTAGATCCTAGAGCAGCCTGACGTGTCGGGTGAACCTGTGCTGGGGCATCTCCTGACCTCTCCCTTATCTGGAGGACTCTTATGTGTATTGGCTTCTGTGAAGAGTGCACGGTAATTGCACAGACTTTTACTGCTGCAAGAACAAATGTCTGCGTTAGGAATGACCCAAGGAAAGACTCCACCACGGTCCAACTTGGTGATCCAGTTGAGTTTATTGGGCTTACTTATACAAAGAGGATGGATAACTCCCAGACCACTGTATCCCAGCCCAGTATAGACCTCATGGAGCCCACATTCAGTAAACTTTTCATTTCCTGCATACTCTAGCTCACTAGCAAGATGAGAGGTGCCATGGGCGATAATGGTTGGAATCCCAGGTGAAGGTCTTTAACTCTCCTACTTTAGAGTGTAACAGCTCCGTTACCACTACTGTAGACCTGTGTCACTTGGCTTATTTCATTGTTAGGAACTTCTGGTCAGGCTCTGCTCCAACATGGAGATAGGCGATAATGTTGTACTCAGAGGAAAAACCACAGTCCAGTGGTGAGATGTGGAGCCTGCTGTTTTGCACAATGTGATTTCATTATTTGTGGAAACATGCAAAATTCCTGTGATTCCTGGATTCTATGGTAATTGTACTTTTAGTTTCTTGAGGAGCCTTGATTAAAACTCAGATGTATGAACAGGGCACAATAACACAGAACTACAACCATAGCCTGCTAGCATGGGAAACCTCATTTGAAAACTATACCTTTGTCATACTGAGGCCCTACTGGCCAGAGCACATGAAAAGGCAGAGCTGAGGGACCTTGTGGGAGGAAGCTACACCATCTGTGGACACCACAGGCGGGCTCTGGTTAAACCGGACTTCCAAGGTACTGCAATAAATAGGGGTCATGTACAGGTACAGTCCTGGACCAAAGACATTTTGCAGGAAACTTAAATATGTGAACCAAGAGATGTGGGTGGAGTCTTGTGTGGTACCTCTGCATTGACGGGAAAATAGGCAATCCTGTTGAAGTGTTTTCTGTAATCTCTGTGACTGCATCATGTTCATGATTAAAACATCATGTTCATTAAGCATCTATTCTTAAAACACTGCAGTATGTCTTCATGATAATAGTTACTAAGCAAGCAGCAACTACTTTCACTAACCTCTGGGTAAAACTATAGGTTTAATTTCTCATTAATTGTGTTCTTTCCGTTAGATCTGTGGTGGTGGGTCTCACCTGTGAGACACGGTTCCCACACCGAAGGGACATTTTTGTCGTGTTCTAGTTTTCTGCCTCAGCAACTATGTAGAGATTTTGGAATTCACAAACAAGGCACAGCAAGGGCCTGTTCGCTTCTGTTGCCCTTCTTCTCCAGCTGCGATTGCAGGCTACCCCACGTGCTTTAGGGAGCGAGGAGAATGAGCACTGTTGTGGTAAGTGTTGTGGTAAGTGTTGTGGTAAGTAAGGTCACAAAACTGACCTTGTTTAATGTTGCAGTTTAAGAGCTTTGCGAGATAACTAAAATCAAAATGGAAAAATAACATAAGAGAAACAAACACAGATGTACTAAGATCATAATGTTGATATAACTACAGTGTAAAGGCCTTAGAGTCATTGGAACTGTGCAGTTTGGTCACTGGCTTTTCTGATCCTGTGCCGTCTGTGGTAGAGCTTGAACTGACCCTGGGAAGAGAGTGTGATCAGTTCTCGTGGCCTGTGCAGGCTTCATGAACATATGCACATTGGGGTATACAATGCTTCACTCCCAGCCCGGGGGTGAGTGCAGTATTCACACTTGTCACGATTCGCTGCTGCTCAGACATTTGTGCTTCAACAGAATGTTAAATTATAGTTAAATGATAACACTGCTCTCTAGCTGCCTTTCTTGAAACTTCTGCCACGTTTGAAACTACCATCCGGGTTCTTCATGTGGAAAATTTTCCATTTCAGGTTTTTGCGTGTGTGTGTGTGTGTGTGTATGTGTGTGTGTGTGTGTGTGTGTGTGTGTGTGTGTGTGTGTGTAAGAGAGAGAGAGAGAGAATATTTATAGACGTGGACAGATGTGCATGTGAGTGTACGTGTGTGCATGTAGAGGCCTAATACGATGTTAGATGTCTTTCTTGATTACTTTCTTTATGTGGCAGGGTCTCACAATTCTGGCTGGTCTAGCCTGCCAGCTTACCCTGAGAATCCTTTGTCTCTGCCTCCCAGATATTGGGATTATAGGCTGCCACTATACTCGCCTGGCTTTAATGTGGGTTCTGGGGGTGAGGTTTCTCTGGTCTTACACAGCAAACATCTTACTGTCAACGGTCCTTTCAGTTTCTGTCATGTCCCCATTGATACTTAATGCATGATCATCTCTTCAGTCTGCTTTCGGTCTCTTCCGTTCTACTATAGACTTTCGTGCCTCAGCCCCCTGTTGTTTGACTTCTTAACTGTTTCCATGTGGCTTCTCCCTTTTGCTCAGCTTTCAGATCATAAATTGGACTCCTGTGTTGATATGCAAAGGCACCCCAAGCTCCCCTGATCACATTCTCTTCCCGAGGTCAGTTCAAGCTCTACCATAGATGGCACAGGATCAGAAAAGACAGTGACCAAACTGCACAGTTCAAAATGAAAATCACATCCTCCGTTCTTTCCCTGCATATGATATTGATAATAGTAAGCCAGGTAGCTTTCACCCTACACTAGAAGGAGGATTTTTTTCTGGACTTTCTTCTTCCCTCATGGTCCTTTGCTCCCTGAGGTCTAACGCTATGAGCTGCAATCCTGCTGGCTTTGCTCATTGTTCATTCTTGTGCCGGTGGCAGCAGTGATGCTGTGGATGGGGAGGAAGTGTGGCTGCCTGAAGACAAATGGATGCTTTCTTACTCACATTAGAACCGTCCATCTCTGCCAGGCTGGAAGGGCCTGTTTCCTCAGTGGTGATGCCCGAGTGCTGATGAGCCGTGCTGCTAACAGACGGCCGTGGTAAAGGCCTTGAGAATACATGGGAGAAGAAGGCAGTGGGTCACCATTTGAGTCATGAGAAAAAGCACACAAACCACAAATAAAAATGGGAGCACAGATCTGAATGTTACTTGGCGGTAGATGACGCAAAATTATCAGTTTCTATCTCAAAAATATCTCAACATGTTCTCAAAGAGCACCAGACTTTTAATGGAACAACTCACTTCACAGGCAGCAAGCATGGCTTTGGCCCAGACTCTTAAATTCACAGATTTTACTCTGGCTTCTACCATCCTGAAGCTTCTACCATGGTATAGAATATGGGGATTGACCCTGTAATTACACAAGATGCAGAGCCAGCTAGATTGCTATCCCTGAGGGGTGGGAGCAGAGTTCTCTACATGGCTGTGTGCACTGAATTAGTATCAGTACAATAACGGAGATTTTCCTCATAGGCAGAAACCAGAGTGTGGGAATCAGCAGGTAAAGATGAGGAGAATTCCACACGCTCGTCCCCATACCGACCTACACAATGGTTTAGGTTCATGGTCAGCAGCCTGGAAAGAACACAGTTGGAAAATTGAGGCCTGAGACATCTAAGGGACAGGAATGTTGGCATACCATTGTAAATACTGGAACGAGTAACAATGTCTGTGTGTCCTTCTATACCTCACCAGAAGGTGATCTCAGCAAAAGACCTAGCACGTGGAGCCCGAGGATTGGGAAGGCTTTGGTTTCTATTCCAAGTGACCTTGCATTCTGCTGGCCTGAATGTCTTAAGGGCAGTGCTTCTCTCCCAAGAGCCACGGTTCAGATTCTGTTGAGTCTGTGGGTCTGACTTTAGCCTGGACAGTGTTGGTCCTTTGACCTGAGGTGACTCCTCAGAAGGGAGTTGGTGTGCTGGCAAGGCTAGCGAACCAGACTGTGATGTATAGCACTGAGAAGCCTGGGTTTGTTTTCTGGCCTTCAGAAGCCGGCCATTCCTCCTTCCTTGTTTCCGACCTAAAAGCTTGTAGCTTTTTTTTTTTTTCCTGGTAAACACTGTTGTTCCCATACAAGCCCATTAAGACTTGCTGTCCACGAAACCTTCTGTATTTATATCAGCTCCTTCCTCTGCCCTCAGATTTCCTGTGTGCTGCTTTGTACTATCCTTTTGTTGCTTAGAAATTATTTTACTTTTTCTAACTTAAAGGTTTATTTTATATGATGAGTGTTTGCCTGCGTGTATGTATGTGCAATGTGTGTCTCAGAGTCAGATCTCCTGGAATTGAAGTTAGAGATAATTGTGAATACATATAGATGCTAGAACTGAGCCAGGGTCCTTGGTAAGAGTAGGAGGTCCCCTAACCACTGAACCACCTCTCCAAGTCCTAAAATTATGTTTAACATTTGTGTGTGTGTGTGTAGATCAGAAAGCAATTTGTGAAAATCAATTTTCCCATCGCTCATTAATGGCTATGTCATAGGCCTCCACTGTGCCAACTTCTATGTTGTTTCCTGATTTAAAATGTTCAGTTTTCACCCAAGAAAAGTGTTGGTCACTACCTACAAGTTTTGAGGTTCCCCAACTCATCTGCAGGTTTTATAGTACCTAGGGAAAAAAAATTAGAGAATTCAGAAATGTCACTGTACTCGTGGTTAGCATTTATGCCTAGGGAAGATTTTACTATAGTCAACGAGGTCCAAGTGTCACTTTGCAGAAACTCCCACTGTCTTCTGTCAGTGGCCCGTGATATTAGCTCTTTGTCAGACAACAGTACACGAGAGTTGCCACAATCAGTTAACAAGCAGTGAATCTCCTCCTACCCAGTATGTTTTAGATGTTATTGACCACCCTTGACTGCCCTTAGTCTCCTGCCTAGCAAGTATCAGTTCAAGCTGATATAGTGCCTGGTCCTAGCCTGTCCACACAAACGCCTGCCACCATAAGCCCGGAGACTCTCCACAAGGCCTGAAGGTCAGGAGAGACTCTTGCTCCTCTAGAGAGCTCTCTACTTTGTACTTGAAAATATTTCTAAATTCTCTACAGTGCCCAGTGCATTGTAAGTGCTGTGTAACTCATTCTTAGTAAACGGAGGAAGAAAACCATCTGCATCTGTCCTGACCAGACAAACGCTTTCCATGAGTGTTTTTAGTTTGCAGTGTTTGAGGACATGGTTGCAAAAGACAATGACTGGAGAGCGAGGGCTGTGTGTCATCCTTTGCTCCTGCTTCCCCGGATGCTAAGTCTGGCCATCTTACAACAAATATCTTATAATAGATGTTTGGAGGCAAGGCTTAACATTCATTTTTGTTTGTGTGTGCACCTGTGTGAGCATGAGGTCAGAGGACAGCTGCAGGAGTTGGTTCTCTCCTTCTACCATGTGGCTTAGGGACTGAATTTAAGACACTTGGTGACAAGCCTTCACCCACCGAGACATTTCACCAGCCCAGGAGTAAAGTTTTGTTTTGTTTACAGAAAGCAATTAGTTTTCTTGTGACTGTTGTTTCTTCTGTCATGTACCAAATTTCTTGACTTCTAGTTATATCATTATTAACCTGTAGTTTCTTTTAGAAAGGCCCTTTTTTTTCCTAAAGTAAATAAATAGATAAATAAATATACACACACATATACATATATATATGCAGAGCAGTTCTAGCTTGTAACTCCTCAATGCTTATTCATTCTATATATGGATTTAATATCACTTCATACGTGTATGTAGTTACTGCTTACTGTGTGTTGAAGTGCTCACCAGTCCAGTCTCAGGATTTGTGGTACCTTCTGTAAACCAGAACGATCCTCTTTGACTGGTGTCTGCTTTCTGCGTGTCTTAGGATGGAAGACGTGGTTGTGTTTTGGTAAGCAACAGCTCCAGCTTTGGAGTCCATATTCACATGTGTGTCACCCCTGTGCCTGTGACATTATACTTCATTCTTGTTTTACCACATGGCTGCTTTTGTCTCCCTAGCCCCACGTCCTCCTTTACCCCCGTCTATCTCCTTCTATCCTCAGTGTACTTTCATGTTTCCACACAGATATATGTGTGGTGTGTACCTATATCCAGATTCCACATATGACAGAAAATGTGAAGACCGTCTTTCTGATTTGGCTTATCTCGACTTAATAATTACTTCTAGTTCCAACCATTTTCCCAACAGATGTTATAATTTCATTCTTTGTGGCTGAATACAATTCCATTATGTATATGTGTCATATTTTTTTCATCTGTTGTGTGCCGCTCAGAACTGGCTCTAATCTTTACTAAAGTCAATATTACCACAATAATCACGGAGGATCCGGCATGCATCTCTGTAAGAGCCTGGCTCAGACTCCCATGAAGACATTTCCAGGAGTAGAATATCTGAATCATATGGGATTTATATTTTTAGTATTTATGAGGAACTTTCATATTGGTTCTACAGTGGCTGCATTAGCTTAGATATATAAGTGTTGCATTAGAATTCCTGAAATCCTCAGCAACAGTTAAGTGTCTTTCATTGATAACTGCTTTAATGGGTGAAATTGCGCTGCCATTGTTGTGGATAGCCCCAGCCTTGTATTTTGATGCTAATTCCACTTTCCTGGGCGGGGCTGCAGAGGAGGAGTGAGTCTGTACACAGGTGACTTCTTGTGAACCTTCTGTCCAATTAAATTTGTAAAATAAAGGCTAGAGCCAGTGATTGGGCAGTAGAAGGGGAGGTGGAGAAAAAGGCTTAGGGGAGGAAGAGGAAGTCGATGGAGGAGCAGGAGGTGGAAGGATAATGGAGGAGAAGCACGTAGCCTGGCAAAACCACAAGTTATAAGGGATCTCATAGCTGGGGAATAGAGTAGTGTGATAGTAAATCTGCCCAATCAAGGCATGCAGCTTATATCCATAATTATTGAGTCGTATTTTCCTTGACTGGTCTTATTTTGGATCAGAGATTTACCACAACATGCCACTGTCGCTTTTATTTGCATTTTCTTGGGAGCTGGTGACACAGAACATTTTTTCGTCTACCTATTGGGCGTCCATGCTTTGTCATTTGAGGAATATCTGCTCACTTGGTTTACCCGTTTATCAGTTGGATTATTTCTGAGTTTGGTGTTTACTTTTTTCAGTTCTTTAGGCATTGTAGATGTTCCTGTTAAATATGTCACTGGCAACAATTTTGTCCTGTTTTGTAGGCTCTTTGCTGTGCAAAATATTTTTAATTCCATGCTCTCTGATTTGTCAATTCTTGTAATAGATTCCAGTGCTTTTAAAGTCTTCTTCAAGCAATTCTGCCTATGCTTCTTATGCCTGTGCTTTTCACAAACGCCTAGCCACTATTATAGTAAATGTGAAATGCTGGAACACTTCCTTTAAACTCATTAACAAGACAAAGCTACTCAAACTGGGTAGTAGTTGAAGTCTCAGCCAGTGCACAGTAGGACAGAAAAAGAAATACAGGGATATTGATAGAAAAGGCAGAAATGAGTCATCTTCAATTGCAGGAGGTGTGATCATATACCTAGCACCCTAAACACTCCACCAGGAAATTCTCACATCTGATAACACTTTGAACAGAATGTCAAGAGTACAAAGTCAGCACCTAAAATTCAAGAGATGTTCCACAGACTAGTAACAGCTGTGCAGAGAAAGAAATCAGTCACGTTTATCATATAAATTCAGTGAGCCTAATAATGTAATAACTGAATTATGAGGCTAAAGACCTCTATCGTGAAGACTTCTCAGTATTAAAGGAATTGAGTAAGAAAATGTAAGATTGAGAGAATTCCTATGCTTATGGATTGGCCATGTAGTTTTTCCTTCGATATATGTTTATTCTGATATATGAATATTGTACACACATCTATATATAAGTTCTCTGTGTGTGTATGTGTGTTCATCGTCCTGTTTTGAAACAAAATCTCTAATGTGTCATACATGTGTTTGTGTGTGTGTATCTGTTCATCTTCCTGTTTTGAAATAAAGTCTCTCATGTGTCCTGGGATGGTCTTGAACTTGAAATCATCTTGCCTTCACTTTTCAAGTGCTAAAATCACAGATCAGAGCTGCCGTGTCTGAATACACGTTGAAGTATACTAATAAATTATGTAATGTTGAAGTTTCTTGTTTTCCCAGAATAAATTTTAAAGTCTTGTGTACTTCTCAATGTCTGCATCTTTTCCTCAGACACTGAATACAAGTATAATTTCCATGCTTTGTTTAGTGTCCTAAGTTGCTTTAAAGCCATCTAAACTCAGTTTGATAAAGTCAGCTGCCTCTGACTTTCAATTTCTAATTCTTTGTGTTCTTTGTAACAGCTTGTTGTAAGCTCTTGTTTGTCCAATTGCCTGTTAGGCATCTATATGTTTGTTGGCAGAACTCTTAGATAAGCATGTCTGACATCATTGTAACTCCTGCCCACCACAGTGGTTGTCATTCTCCCTAGTTTCAGTTTCCCCCCTATATAGACAAGGCTTGCCTCAGCCTCGGCGATCCCCACCTCTGCCTGTGTGGGTTAAAGGTGTACATCAGCACACTTACCCTTCATTATAGGACACCAGTGATGCGGATTTCTTTTCAGATACTAGCAATCCGTCCGGCGTTAGGGAGGATGTATAAGGCTACCTATGAGGTGAATTTGGGAGTATATTATGAGTGACCGTTTCGGAGTTGAGGCATGTGTTTAAGTAGAGAACCAAAGGAATAATAATAATGTGCATGTATTTGCTACCTGAGTCACTCATCACCAAGCTAGGGAGTGGGCAAAGCATCTTGTAGTTTGTCTTGGTTTTTGGGGGTGGGTGGGTGGGTGGGTAGGTGGGAGGTGTTCCTTCCTTAATAAAGAGTCTCATCTAAGAGGAGCTTGTGGACAGGAGGGCCTCAAATATTCCTGTCTCTAACCTAGCTGAAGGCTTGGGTTGAGGAAAGTCATCTCATTACAGAGGTTGGTGTCATTTGAGGATGTGTCTGTGGACTTCACCTGGGATGAATGGCAGGACCTGGATGACACTCAGAGGAAGCTCTACAGGGACGTGATGCTGGAGACCTACAGCAGCCTGCTGTCCTTGAGTGAGTGAAAGTCCCAGTAGTGCTGTCAGAAGCGTGTTCCTTTTTTGGTAAATACAGGAGCTACTTCGGTCAGTGGGTAGTGGTTGTTGGTTGTTTTTTTCTCTATGCCTGTGGCCAAAACTAGAACCTTGTGCTTACTAATAAGCACACTGCTTCTAAGGTTTCACTGAGATATAGTAACTCCATATTTATAGTCAAAGTTGTCATTTCAATATTTGTGTAGTATACATGATAATAAGTGTTTTATAAGCCCATAAACTTAGATATATCATTTCTGTCTATTAAGAACATTTAATACCTTCCCTCTTATCCTCTTTGAATTTATTTATTTAATGTATATGAATATTTTGCCTGATGGTATGTGTGTGTTCAATGTGTGCCTGGTACCCAAGGAGATCAGAAGATGGATGATGTCAGATCCTCTGGAACTGGAGTTACAGATAGTTATAAATTGCCATGTATGTGCTGGAAACCAGATCCATGTCCTCTGCAAGAAAAACAAATGCTCTTACCCACTGAGCCATCTCTCCAGCCCTGCAAAAGCCTCTTACTTTCAAGTAACTGTTGTCAACTGCAGTTAGCTTTGTGTGGTATAGGGCAGTGGGAGGTATGTTTCCATTCAGCTGTTTCCCTGCATCTGTCAACCATCTTCCCTCCTTCCCTCCTTCCCTCCTTCCCTCCTTCCCTCCTTCCCTCCGTCCCTCACATAGTTCCTGGGCACCCATGGCTAGATGTTCTTTCTTTATGTTTCAGGCTCACATCAGCTTCCAGCCACGAGTGTGACTATGAAGTGTTCGTTTCTTTTATTTTGATCTCTCTCATTTAATGCATATCTTTCAGTGGTCCTATGGGAGAAAATTCGGAGCCTTTTCCATAGCTGGATGAGGTCACCCTCTCTGTATTTAGCACATTTTCTTCATAGATTCAGTATCATGTCTTCTGTGTGTGATGCTGCAATAACTGCAGAGTTCTCTTCAGAACACTCAGGGGGAGTGTGTGTGTGTGTGTGTGTGTGTGTGTTCCAAGTGTTGTATCCTGCTGTGTGCAGTTCACTGTTATGTGCAGTTCACTTTCCAGGATTTTAGGAAACACCATGCTGTTTTTCAGTACCTGTTAATTACATTTCCAGCAACAGACCTTTCCTTTTCTGTGTCCTCACCAGCATTTGTAATGTGAAGTGTTTGATAGTCGTTATAGTCACGGTGCCGTGAGAGCCTGTTGTTGTTTGACTTGAAATTTTGTGGTGGGGTAGGGATGTTCACATCCTTGTGTCTTTGGAGACATATCAGTTGTGGTCATTTGCCCAGAATTCATCAGCTTGTTCACTTTGATGCCAGCGCATTATATAAACTGGAAGGCAGTCCATCATCAGAGTAGAATTTGTAAATATTTTCTCCTTCTGCATGTTTTTCTTTTAACTGTTCTCAACTGTTAACTTTTCTTAACTAAAGTTTACAATTTTGATATAATCCTGGTTTTATTTTTAAGTTATTTTTATTTTGTTTATGTATATTGGTTTGTGCACATGAGTGCAGGAGCCACAGAGGCCAGAAGCAGGAGCTCCAGGCGGTTGTGCCACCTTATATGGGTACTGACCGCAGTTCTTCTGCAAGCTCCGTAAGTGCTTTTATCCACTGAGCCAGTTCTCCAGCCCCCATAATTCTGGGTTCAGTGCTTGCTTTTGTTAACTGCTTTTGGTATCAGGCTTAAAAAGTTGACCTTTGCCTACATGTATATCCTTTTGTGTTCTCCCTGCGTTTCCTAGTATTGGTTTTATAATTTCAAAGTGGTGTTTTTATTTGTCTTCTATATATGGTAAGAGGCAGGCTCACCATCTCTCTACATCACAAAGCTCTCCAGTTTTACAGACATTGAGATCTTCCTTCTAAACATTTGTTCTTCTTGCCTTTTGTGAGGATTGGCTGGCTGGGAACCTGCACATTTGCTGTTGGTTTCTCTGTGATGTTGTGGTGACCTCTGCATTTTCTTCCACCTGTGCAAGCTGTTTTGATAACTGTCTCTTCCAAGTATGTTTTGAGGTTAGGTTTTGATGGTTCTTTTGTTCTTTTTTTGTTTGGTTAGTTGGTTGGCTAGTTTTTGTTTTGTTTTTTAAGACAGGGTTTCTCTATGTAGTCCCAGCAGTCCTAGAACTTGCTCTGTAGAACAGTCTGGGCTTGAACGCAGAAATCCTCTGGGTTGAAATCCTCCACCTCCCAAGTGCTAGGATTAAAGGCGTGCTCCACCACACCTAGCCCTTTATTCTTTTAATTAAAATTTGCAACCGTTCTAAATATCACTGGTGTTAGTTACTTTGAACAGTCCCTTTTTGAAGTGTTGACACAGATGTGGGGAATCAAAGTTTCCTTGTTTTGCTGGGCAGATGTAAAGTGTCACAAAGGTGGAATCTTTGTAAGGACTGTTTATATTAATAGTAACCTCCTTTGAACATCGTGTGTGTGTGTGTGTGTGTGTGTGTGTGTGTGTGTGTGTGTGTGTCCTATAAGAAGCAAAGACTTTGTGAATTGGATAGTCTGACTGACTTGCTGCCCCGGTTGCCCTGAGTAAAAGGACTCCCAGTTGATAGCTGGTCTGACTCCTCTTAGGGCAGTACCAGCTGCTCTAAACATTCCCAGGGCACTTTGAGGACACTGCAGCTATGTGCTCTCTCCCCTGAAGGTGCAGTACAAGCCAGAACAGTTTCAAAGTTTCTAACTGACTTTTGCTCTCATTGGCTTTGGTGAATCCTGGGTGACTCTGAGTCATGTTCTCCTAGGGGACAGAGGGGGAGCAGTTCCCTTGTGGCCTGACAGGTGCTTTGACCGATATGGACATGACTTCATTTACAACGTGGCTTCCTGCTTGTGTACAAAGCCACCAGATCCACTCACTTGGAGAGCTGGCTAAGAGATTCCCTTCTGTGTTGTGTCCCCTGGTGTTGTTCCAAGAAAAGGCTTCTCTCCAGTCTTCTTACCTAATTTTAGTGGCGTAAGGTGATCTGGAAATACCAAGAATAGAGTAGAAGAGACTGGAACTGGATCCAAGAAACCAAAAGATTTTTATCATAAAAGAAAGAAAGAGAGAGAGAGAGAGAGAGAGAGAGAGAGAGAGAGAGAGAGAGAGAGAGAGAACTCTTACTGTTACTGCTCTGTTGCTATTTTGTTTGTAATAAATTCTTACCCATTGTTTTCTTCTTAGCTCCCACTTTCCTCTGCTTCCTGTTATGGGGCTCTTTGGGGGGCCTGGGGGGAGGGGTAGTTCAGAGCACCTGGTTCCCATTTACTGATCTTTCCAACTCCTGCAGTGTCTGGCCAAGGAGGTTTAGATTTGTGTTGATTCAATGGATTTTTAAATTTTTCACTTGCTTTTTTTTTTTCTTGATCCAGGTGGTCAGTCAGAATAATGTTTTTATTCTGTGTGTATTTCTTTTATGTTAATGTCCTCAGCATTGGTTATAAATGCCATGTTCTCATAGAGTGTTCACGACGTCGGTCCTATCATTGCTGAGAGTCTGAAGCCAGTATTTTGTAATTGAGGTACAACTTGTACAATATTTCCCATTAATAGATCAATGTGACGCCAAACCTGAGTTGATCCTGAAGTTGGAGCAAGGAGCTGAGCCATGGAAGGAAGCCGATGCCCCAGACCAGAGACTCCGAGGTCATAGTGAGTAGTCCAGGCTAGTGAGTGCTCAGCAGATGGTGGGTGTGTGAAGTTCTTTTTATTCAATTTTGCCATCTCCAATCTTGAGACTAACTTCTTAATCAGATGCTTGTGTATCATGTCCAAGGGAAGCTCTCATTGGCAGACGGACCCACCTTTTCCTGGTTTCCTGTGTATTTCCATAGGCTCAGCAAACTCTACTCAAGCATTTCATTAAGTAGTTATTCTAAATCTCGTCGTCCTTTCCCCCTCTGATTTTACATAATCCTTCACTTCAAGCATTTGTTCATGGGGTTATTAATGCACTCATCACTTTTATTTGAGTCCTCATAGCCTTTGGTCTGCTATGTGAGACCAATTTGATCCATCAAATTTGCCTTATCTATAGAACATAACGACAAAAATAGGTTTCCTTAGCTGGATAAGTGAATGAAAAAAATATAGAGTGTTTCTAAGGCCAAAGAGTTTTGAGGAGATTGTTTTAAAAGTAATTTCAGACTAATTTTAAGACTTACAAATTTGGCACATAATTCATAGGTTGATAGGCGTTCTAGACTTCAGAGTAGTTGGGATTTTATTAGCAATTCCAAAGTAACAGTAGTTCTAAGCCAGTATTGAATAGATAGGTTTCAGGCACTCACCTGAGGAATTCTAACATGAAAAGATATGTCCAAAATCAAACCGTCATACCAAGACACCAGAAATTCAAGGAGCACCTGTAAAGACTCTGAGTAGGGTAGACCAAGGTTTGGTGAGATGTCCAGAAGATCTCAGGCATGGAGGCCAAATGAACAGAGGCCTGTTGAAAGGCTGTTTGATGAGGAAATTGTAATATCTAGTTGGCCTTCAACCTTTTTCATTGTAGAACTTGCTCTTTAAGTCAGCAGATTTGTGCAGCATTTGCTAAAAAGTTTTAGCCCAGCAGAAGCTCTGCAAGAGCAGCAGGTGCTCTTAGCCTCTGAGCCATCTCTCCAGCCCCTAGTTTGTAATATTACATCATCAGCGAGGTACTGCTTTACTTTTGTATTAGGATTCTGTCAGAATGGCTTCTGTATTGTTCATGTGGGGCTGCTTTTATTTCCTTTCAGCTCTGCAGCCTGTGAAGAGCCTGAAGGAGACCAGATGGGACAATCGAAAGAGACATTTGAGCCACCTGGTAATCACTGGCAGCGCATCAGCTGAGGAGAGGGGCAGATTTGGGAAAATATTTAATATGAATTCAAACCATGTTTTGCACCTGGCTATTAAGAATAGAAGCTCTTCTAGAATGAGATCTGAGGTGCTTGATACATGGGAAAATGTGTATCTCCCTGGTGGGCCCATTGAGTTGCAGGCTTCAAAGGAACTTGATCATCTTAATTCAACTAAGATTCCATGCACACCTTCTGTGCCTCTTAGTCTGGATCTCAGTGTTGAAAGTGGGCAACAGCATGTCCAGTGTGCTCAACATGATGAACCCTTCGATGTGAACACTATGTGGACACATACAATGTTTTCTTTGGGAGACAGCTCGAGGAACACCTTTGATCAATTGACTCTGAGCGCCCAAGAGGGGACTCACATAAGGCAAGAAACTTTTGATTGTAACATGTGTAAGAAGTCATTCTCTGACAAGTGTAACCACACTCAACATTTAAAACCACGCCTAAAAAAACAGTGGGGTAAGTGTACTGACAGTGAGCCAGCATCCCGTACAAAAAAAGCAGGCCTTCAGCACACTGTGCATGCATGGGGAAAACCCCATGGGTGTGACGACAACAACGAAAAATGTGTGCATCAGATGCCGAAACTGAGGGCTAATCAGAGTGTCTTCTCAAGTAAAGAGAGTAACTGTGTGAAAACATTTTGCCCAGACTCAACTTTCAGTGCGCAGCAGAGACCACACACAGGTAAAAAGCCCCATGAGTCCAATACATCTCTAAAAATCAACAGCCAGCCTCGTAGGCATCACAGATGTGGGAGAACCTATCAGTGTAAAGTCTGTGGGAAAGCCTTTAAACACACACAAAATCTCTATTTACACCACAGAACTCACACTGGGGAGAAGCCCTATGAGTGTAAAGACTGTAAGAAACTATTCAGTGTAAAGTCAAATCTCAGTGTACATCAGAAAACCCACACAGGGGAAAAACCCTATGAGTGTAACATATGTGGAAATGCCTTCAAAAGGAGGTGTGACCTGACTATCCACCAGAGAGTCCACACAGGCGAGAAGCCCTACGAATGTAAAGAGTGCAGGAAAACTTTCAGTATAAAGTCAGGGCTCATTGTCCATCAGAGAATTCACACCGGCGAGAAACCATACGAGTGCAGTGTCTGTGGGAAACGTTTTAACCAAAAGTCAAATCTCTCCACACATGAGAAAATTCACACAGGTGAGAAACCCTTTGAATGCAAAGAATGTAGCAAATCATTTAGTGTCAAGTCATATCTGACTATACATCAAAAAACTCACTTGGGTGAGAAGCCTCACTCATGAAATCTGGGAAAGCCTCATGTGAGAAGACAAACATCCACAGACATCCTAGTGTGGACACAGGTCCCTGTGAACGCAGAGAATGTAGAAAAAGTGTAAGCCATTTATCCTCTCCCCATGTACCACAGAGAGGTGAGAAGTGATACCTGTGCACACAGAGCTTGCAGAGACTGAGTCGTAAGTCAGAGCTCATCATCAGGTAGTGATCTCTAAACCTTCCAGTATGGAATATGTTCAGAAGACTAATGCCAGATGTCAGACTTTAGCTATTGGAGAGACCCTGCAGGTGAGAGACACTCTGACTGTAAGGCCTGGAAGAGTCAGTCTTCATTAAGATTGGAGAATCTGTGCCGATAGAAACCCTGAGTGTAGCTGTGTGGAGAGCCCTTTAGTCAGAAGTCCCATCTCTGAGAATCTTGGGTTCCCACAGGTGAGAAGTTCTATGAATGTAAAGAATGTAGCAAAGCATGTCATTTTCTCCATGTGTGTCACAGAGGTTCTTGTCAGTGTAGTCTACAGAACGGTCACCTGCCACATGCCAAACCTAGATACACATCATAGACGTCTCACCACTTAGAGGCCTTATGAGTGTAAGGACTAGAAAACATTTCCAACAAATCTTGTAGCAGGATCCTCAAGTAGAAAAGCTCTGCAGATGGAAAGGAGAGGAAGTCCCAATAGCAGATAAACACTGCACATCACATAGAGCTGAAGAGTGTACAGTGCAGTGTATGTGGAGAAACTTTCCTAGATGTCAGATCTCAGCAGTTCTTAGGTGAGGAACCCTTCAGCAGTAAGGTGTCCTTTACTGCATACCAAAGATATGCATACCAGGCACATGGGATAAGCCATAGCAATTCAATGTGTGTGCAAAAACTTGGTTCTGTGAGACAAAGACATCTGCCCCCACTAGAGAACCACACAAACACAAAACCCTATGAATATAAAAACAACCAAAAACGAACAAAACCCCTGTGAATTTAAAGAATGTAGAAAATCTTTTATATCTCTGGGTTATGTGCAAGAACTTATATAGGTAACTGCACACATATGTAAGTATAACAGACAGCTGTGTGTGCATCAGAAAACCCCCACTCCTGAGAAACCAGAGTGTGATACACACACACACACAAGACTTTTACGCAATGAAAACACTCTGGAGAGCTCGCGGACTGGAAGTATCTGGATGTAAGAATGTATATGGACAACCATTTTATAGGAGGTTGACCTCCACATCGGAGAATTCACAAGAGAGGGAATGCTGTTGACATGAGAAAGCATATCTAGAATGGTTATAGATTTGGAAAACTGTCATTGTGAGAGGTGCTGTATGCACAGCTCCCGTGTGCTAAGATTTGCTTTTCTTTTACCCGGGGCCTGGCCTGGCAGCCTGTATGTGTAGTATTATGGAGAGAACGTGTCCTGAGTTTTATCGGAGTTTTAATGTTTGTAATGAATCAGTCCTTTCTGGCCTCAATCAACCCCAAATGTTTGCAATACATTATCCCTGAATGTGTCCTCATGGCCTGGAAGGTAGGTAAGTTTATTTTTGATAAGAGGGTATAGCAGATGACACTGTTCTAAGGGCATGTCTTGTTGGAGAGGACGGAGGCTTTGTATGTGTTTATAAGCCTCTTGTTTGTATGAGTGCTAGAACATTCTACACGAGCTTTGTGCAGCATAATGCAAAATCATTGTAACCCATTTTAAAAGCACTTCAGACAGAGAACCTTTCATGTTAGAAGTTCACTCAGGAGAGGACCCTTCTTGTCACCTGTGTATTTTCAAGCCATTTTGTGGATAAAAAGAACCATGAAATTCCAATAAATTCTAGATGCCTTACCTGGCACCAGCATTACATTAAGAAGATAGTAAAGCTTTTTTCATGTGTGGAATATATGTATATCCATAAAACACTGAAATCCTTGTGTCGGAATTATTCATTAAAATGACCGTCACTTTCTAAGAAGTGTCAAGAGTACTGAGATTATGTTTGAGCTGGGTGTCGTGGCATGTGTATTTAATTCCAGCACCCAGGAGGCAGAGGAGAGGCAGTCAGATATCTGAGTTTGAATCCTCAGAGAGAGTTCCAGGCCAGCAGGGCTACATAGAGACCTCAACTTTAAAAAAAAAAAAATGTTGAATGTGACATATGACGGATTGGTTTACATCTGGGGACATACATGTTTGTCACAACCAAAGTTTAAGAATTACAACTAATACTAGTGGCTAACAGGAACGCAGCTGAATTGCCTGGAGGACATGGTTGTCCTTTTCCTGAGGAGGCATGAACAGGTATCTACTTAGCCCAGATAGGGTACTAACAACAGACCAAAGAATTCTGTCAGGCTTCGATCTGGTGAATCCAGTGAGTTTACTGAGCTTACAGAAGTATGGTTGCAGCAGCTACATCACTGAAAAGCCCACCCCACCGTAAGGGTGACTGTGAAAAGTCTCTTGGGCTGGTTCCACTCCTTGTATATCACTCTCCTGGCTAGATAACCCCATGGCTCTGGCATCTCCTACATTTTGGGATCTTCACTAAAACCCAGGATTCATTTCTGTAGCTTTACACATGGTCTCTCAGGGCCTCTTTCCCTCTCAGGACCTTTACTCAAGGACTACACTGCCACATGCTGTCTACCTCAGCAGCTCTCTGAAACCACAGTGGAAGAATCCTTAAGCCCGTCACTCTCTAAAGCCAACACACCATGTGGATGATACTACCAAATTCTACTGTCAGCTCAGGATGGACTCCAACCCCCTTAAACCACATTAGCATCAGCTAGCATATCCAGTTGCTTTCTAAGAGCATGTCTTGGAAGCTGGGTGGGAATCTTGCACCGGAGGAACCCATCCCTTGGTTCTAGCACAGATCAGGTCTCATTAAGTGTCCTGATATCCTTAACAACAGCCAGTCTGCTAGCACAAGCCTTAGCTATAACATTAAATTTCTTAGCACTCTTTTTATCTCCAAATGGTATGCTATACACTTTGTATTTCTTTCTGTCACACTTGCTTCTTTGTATTGAAGAATGGCATAAGCATCTGTAACAGCCATGCTGCAATTTCAACATGATGTTGTCTTGAAATTTCCTCCCCCTAAGAAATTAGGCCATTACTTCTTAATTTCCCCTCAAGCAAGTGCATAGGACTTTCTAAGAAGACATCCATAGTCTTTGCTAAACTATCACATTAATGGTTTCTAGCCAAGTTTCCAATATTGTCCCCTTCTGAAATTTCTTGAGCCCCCACATTCTTCATTGTTCTCAGCACTACTGTCTTCCAAGCTTCTACCTGAGTGGCCCATTAAGCTCTGCCTACAGCACCCAACAACTTTTCTAGTCCAAAGTTTCAAGGTCTCCCACATTCTTCCAAAAAGCAACATGTTCAGGTTCTTTGCAGCAACATCCACCTCCTGGTACCAACTTAGATATTAGTTCCCTTTCTGTTACTGTGAAGACATACCATGACCAGAAGAGACTCTTAGTAGAGTTTATTTTGGCTTACAATTCCAAAGGGGTAAGAGTCCATCATTTTGGATTGGCATGAAAGCCAGAGAGATCACAACATCTCAGCCACAAGCACAAAGCAGAGAGTAAAATGGAAGTGAAATCTGTAAGCAAGCTCAATACACTTACTGGTTCCCTAAGTTGGGCTATAATGCAACGTAATTTTTTTCAGTCTGCCATGGTGCCCTATCTGGGTTTAGTAGATGTTTGTACGTCCCCAAGAAGAGCCTCACTGATGTGTCAGAGGAGGGTGACGTATCCTGTCTGCTTGTGTTGGGGAAAGACTGTGAGGAGAGCTGGTTTGCTACATCTGGATTGGTAGGCCTCTGTTCTGGCCTGGTTACCAAGGTCTCTAGGTCTGAAACCCGATCTCAAATCTACCTTAAGGATTGCCTGCTTATTTTGTTTTTGTTTTGTTTTTTTTTTTTTCTGAACTGGTTGCCATTCTAGCAAATGGATTAATCTCAAAAGTCTGAAGAATTGTATTGGTTTGTGCCCACTGACTATGTGAGCTTATGTCTGATTTTCAAACCAGTTCAGTAGTCTAGACTCTGGCATGCTTTGCTCAGTTCTTCTGTTAGCTTCAGCAGGGTTGGGGTTTGCTCCCACATGGCTCACCGGGCATCTCCCTGACTTGGGGTAGAAGCAGTCATCATACAATAGCTTCCCATCAGAAACACTTGAGCATGCTCAGATCTGCAGTGGGAAGACTTGCGTAGATTCCAGATCAATGACAGACAAGTGGATACCAAAGAGATTGATATAGCTCACCAGGACCTTCTGGATTAGTTCGGAATTTGGTTCAGTTCTGAACATCTTCCAGATTTATTTCAGTAAATATTTAAGATGTCAAATGATTTAGAGGAAGCCAGGAGAGGTTGACATTTTTGTGTTATGCTAAAAAATAATTTCGGTTGTCAGAGAAAGGATTTTATAACTTTTGAGATTGGTGAGAAATTAAAAGTTAGGGGTGAGGAAGAGGACAATCTGAGCACTGTTTATTCATGAAAAGGAAAAAATATATAGGTAACTCCTAAGTTGGATATGTGTTACCTACCTTAGATCTCTAGATATCTGCGTATAAATGCCTATGTATAAACTGTCTAGAAGCTTTTAAAGTTTCAGTGTTAAGGAAATAAAAGGCAATGCTATTCATGCCAGAAATACAGAAACTACATTTTAGTTAGTTTTTGGAAGGGCAGGGGGCACTTGGGTCCTGTTGGACTGTGTTATAGACCAAGGGTTTCCAAACTTCAGTTATGAGAGCAAAGTTGTGTGTCAGAAAAGTTCACTATGTATTGCCAAGATATGTTAGGAGTGTGACTGAGTTTCCTTACTATGTGCTGCGGGGCTTGGGCCCAACCTAGGTGAGGTCTCCTCTTTAGAGTAGGGCAAGGGCATCCTTCTAACAAGGTGGTGGGATGTTCATGGTCCGTGCATAGGAAATCATGATCAGCTTTTTGGTCATTTCAAAATGGAGTTAGAGGACCAGAGTCAATGCACATAAGATGCTAGCTGCCCAGGAAAGGAGTTTTGAATGAGGAAATGATAGGAACAGAGTAACTGGACTGGGACAATGTTGGCATTCATTCACTTCTTTCCTGGAATTTGCAACTTGATAACTATTCCGTGTGGACAGAGAATGTCAACCCTACAGATGGGACAACTAGTCACATATGACCTGGTAGTGCTAATGAAGACATTATCTCTGCATCAACTGTCCTCATCTTGGTGATATTAATGTTAACAGAGCAAGATTTTATTTAATTATGAAGAGTTCAGTCTCTAAGAATGCTACTGGTAGCCAGGCAGTGGTAGCATGGACCTTTAATTCCAGCACTTGGGAAGCAGAGGCAGGTGGATCTCTGAGTTCAAAGCCAGCCTGGTTTACAGAGTGACTGCCAGGACAACCAGGACTACACAGAGAAACCATAGCCAAAAACAAAACAAAACAAAACAAAACCAGGGTGCTGGAGAGATGGCTTGGCATTTAAGAGCACTGGCTGCTCTTCCAGAGGTCCTGAATTCAATTCTCAGCACTCACCTGGTGTCTCACAACCATCTATAATGAGATCTGGTGCCCTCTTCTAACCTGCAAGCATACATGTAGGCAGAATGTTGCACATGCACACACACACAAAGCTATCGGTGGGCAGCCATCCTCTGTAACACAGTCTCCACCATGCCTTAGCAGGCTGAGCAGGCCATGGGAAGTAAGCCAGTGAGCAGCATTCCTTCATGGTCTCTGCTTCAATTCCTGCCCCTGACTACCTCAGTCTCAGACTGTGACATGGAAGTGTAAGCCAAATAAAGCCTCTCTTCTTCAAGTTGCTTTTGGTCAGTGTTTTACCACAGTACCAGAGAAGCTAATTGGGACAGCTTCCCATTGGCATCTCAAACACACTGATCGTAAGACACGAGTCTCAATACAAGACTTACAGATTTATAAGAGAAAATGGTGTTGTACGTTATACAAAGTGTTTTATTCAAGGCAGTGTAGGGTAAAACCATCTTTAGGGCTAGAGCAAAATGTGTAGTGACAAAAGACCTGTGCTGTCGGTGACACAGCAGTGTTCAGAGAGAACTAGGTAAATTAAAGCGGTCCGCTTCTGTTCAGTGGTTTCATATGGAGGACGGAGTGTAGGGATGGGGCGGCACAAATAAACAGACATTGAGTTGTCGCTCACCAAGAGCACTGAAGCCGGCGTGAGAACTGTTGCTCGTGGCTCTTTGTCAGCTGTGAACAGGGACTTGATGTGTTCATTTCTACATGGATAATGTTTCCATTAGATCAACCGACACGCTTTATATTAGCTTTGCACTCTAGAAAAAGTCTTGCTTACCTATGGGATCGTTAAATAGCAATGTCCACACATACTTACTTACACTGGCACAACGTGGGGAAAGTGTGATATTTGAGAAAGAAGGAAGACGCGCTAGAACGGTATTTGATGTGGAGATTTTTAGGTTTTAGTTTATGCATGTTTGTAGTGGGGCTGAAACCAGGGTCTCATGAACGTTACACGTACTTTTACCACTGGTCTACACTTGTACCTCAGTCCATTTAACAAAGGAAGACATGTATAGAGCAAACACATTTACTGTAATTAATCTAGGTCCCACCAAGGGAATTTTCCATTAATATAAAACACCCAAATATGTAAGTGCATAAGGGAATGTTCTGTGCAGTACAAGCTGTTTAAACAACACAGCTGACCCCTATTACTGCATGCCAGTAGCAACTCCAACCTCCAGTTACAATAACCACAAATGTTCCCAGACACAATGTGCTCTGACAGACAGGAATATCACTCACATATTTATTGGCACATGTGTACCTCCATTTGAAAGTTAATATTAAAATTACAAAGACTGATAATTTGCCTTCATTATAAACTTCTGACATGGAAGTTTCGTTCAAAGTTTCATGTGTTAACTTACTCATATTTGATTTATTCAAACTGTTCAATGAAACGTCTCTGATAAAGTATTCTCAATTTGTACAAGTTTCCCTTGTGTACAAATTCTGAAATATTAAAGCATGTAAGTTCTCCCAACTGTATCAAGTGAATTATTGCATTCTATAAAAGCACCATGCGTAATGGCTTGAGAAAGTATTCCTCAAACTAAAGAGTATTTGGGGATAAAAATGAGCTATCTCCAGTCAGTTCTATTTCTCTTAAATCGGGGACTTTCTGACAATAGATGTCAAGGCTATCTTGTAGGTCACGTTCATCTCAGGGCCAGAGCTCGTGTGAACTCAGGAAGGAAGAAAAAAAACTTAAAAGTATTTCTGTGGGCCTGGCTCAAAGTAGTGATCATCATACGTGTGTGTGTGTGTGTGTGTGTGTGTGTGTGTGTGCATGTATATGGCTTTTACATGGTCATACAGACCACATAATGGAGACTGTGTTCCAGAGAAGACAGCCAACTTGTGCCACACAGAATTTTCTATATAAACTTAACGCCTGCAAAGGTGTCCCTTCTTGCAAAAACATTGTCCGCACTGTCACATTTATAGGAATCGCCCTACGTGCACCCTGCCTGAAGCCTGCTGATGGTTTCTGCGTACAGAGCTCCCACGTTAGACTCACAGGCGCTCCCTCAGGTGGATTCTCTGATGTACATTGAGGGATGACTTATGATAAAACGTTTTCCTACATTCTTGACACTGAAATTGTTTCTCACTTTCATGAGTTACCTGATGCCTGTTAAGATATGACTTCTGGTGGAAAGCCTTCTTGCACAGCTTACATTCGTAGGGCTTCTCGCCTGTGTGGGTCCTCTGATGAACCGTGAGATGCGACTTACTGTAAAATGTTTTCCTGCATTCCTCACACGAGTATGGTTTGTAGCCTGTGTGGCTCCTCTGATGGACAGTGAGGGAGGACTTATGGAGGAAGGTTTTCCTACATTCTTCACATGCGTACGGTCTGCTCCCTGTGTGGTTTCTCTGATGTCTGCTGAGGCTCGACTTCTGGTAGAACGCTTTCCCACACTCTTTACATTTGTAGGGTTTCTCGCCAGTGTGAGTTCCCTGGTGCATGTTGAGGTGTGAGCGACGGTGAAAAGTTTTCCTACATACATTGCATTCGTAAGGTTTCTCCCCTGTGTGTGTTTTCTGATGCACGGTAAGGTTTGACTTACGATTGAAAGTTTTCTGACACTCTTCACATTCGTATGGCTTGTCACCTGTGTGAATTTTCTGATGTATAATGAGGTGTGACTTAGAGTAGAACGTTTTCCTACATTGGTCACACTCATAGGGCTTCTCGCCTGTGTGAGTTCTATGATGGACATTCAGGTCTGACTTACAGTAGAAAGTTTTCCTGCATTTTTTACACTCATAGGGCTTCTCGCCTGTGTGAGTTCTCTGATGGATCGTGAGGGAGGACTTATGGTAGAAAGTTTTTTTGCACTCTTTACAGCCATAGGGTTTCTCACCTGTGTGAATTCTCTGGTGCCTGCTGAGGTGTGACTTCCGGTAAAAGGACTTTCCACACATGTTACATCCATAGGGTTTATAACCGGCACAGGTCCTCTGATACTGTCTGAGATTTGGCTTCTCACTAAAACTTTTTTCAGACTGATAAATTTCATAGAGTTTGGCTTCTCTGGGGACTCTCTGGGGCACATTTTGCTGGGTTTTCTGATGAAAGCATTTCTCACATTGCTTACATCTATGGGACCTGACTCCCCCCGCATGAATCCTCTGGTCTTTGTGGTATGGTTTCTTAATGAAGGTTTTCTCACAATCCCTACATGTATAGTATTTCTGTCCTTTGTGTATTTTCTTATGTTTAGTGAGCTTAAACTCTGTATAGAATATTTTCTTACAAATACTACATTCAAAAGTTTCCTCCCGAACCCAGCTCATCTCTTGGGCATTAAGAGCTACCTCATCAGGTGCTTTCTCAGACTCATCAAACTCACTGGACCTATGTGCAATGTGAAAGCTCTTATTCATCCATAATGCCTTTGTGTTGCAGGTCACCTCTTGACTACTACACTGAAAATGCTGCCGAGTACTCAGAGCCCTGTTATACAGCCCATGACACTCTGCGTGTATGGGGCGCTTGTCAGCCAGGGAGCCATCAGGCTCCGTAGGGGGAGGTATGCTCTGCCACGCAGTAAGTGCCTCAGGCCTCATTCCTGAGGAGTTTCCATTCTTTACAGTCAGATTTGAAACACAGTTTGAGCTCACATTAAGTATTTTTCCTAATTTAACTTTCTCCTCCCTTGACGTGTTGCTGTTGGTAATTACAAGGTGCCACAACTGTCTCTCTTCATTGTCCTGGCTGATTTCATTCAGGTCCGTTACTTTCTGGGCATCTAAAAGAAAACAAGTCGCCAAGCTCATATTACAGCATAAAGATGAAGATCTGCCTTCTCATTGTCATTCCATTATAATTTAAAAGTAATATTGCTATATGATATATCCAGTGTGTCCCCAGTGGATCTGTGACGTAGAGTTTACAATGTAAAATCACATCACTTCATTGATTTAAGGTGTTTAATTCATTTGAAATGCAAGATCGTTCAATATTCACCAACTGCCTGGCTGTATATTTCAGCATGTCCTTTCCATCTACCGTTTCCCCCCTCCCTTCCCCTGGCTCTTTCTTACAGTGCATCCCACGTTCCTTCTTTCTGATCTGTAAAGGTAAGGTCCTCATCAGCTAGCTCTCTGAGGATGGAGGTTTGCCCAGCTTGTGTTTCACCTAAGTGTAGACTTAGGAAACGGCTGCTATCTGTATGCTCAGTTTTCACTGTTTCACAAGGAACTACAGTAGAAATTTAGGGGGGTGGGTTTGCAGACACAAATGGCCGTATTCCTGTATGAAAACAGCTAAGCTAAACCCTCCCAATTCCTAATCAACATCTATTTTGTGCTTCCGAGAACCTTAGTGGGGTCAGGAAGCTCCAGCCTGCCCTGCCAGACTAGTGGATTTCATTCAGGAGACTAAGTGATGGCCACCACTGTTTGAATGTTTTCTGAGTGTTTCTGAAATCACAGTGCTGTCATTCTTCACTTAAATGAAGGCCCATGCAGCCCTACTTTGTAACTCTCTGCTTCTGGAAGCTTCCACTTTTTATTAAGCTGTCGTCTACATTGTAAGTGAGGTCTTCTATGTAAGTCTATTGTCTTCAAATTACTTTCAGAGACTGCTGATGACAACTTCCACATCGACACAGAAACTTCAGCCTTTCAACACAAAAGCCTTGCCTCACTTACACTCCATCTCAGCAGACACCACTTTTCCTGTCAAGCATCGCTTCCCCCTTCCCGCTCTGAGAACTCCTAACTCGCACGCATTCTAGCCGTGGGACAGGAGATGCTGGGCCTAATTTTCCGATTTCCTCACCAACCCCTTAGTTAATGCCTGAAAAACTGTAATATAAGTATCTATATTAAGCTACCAATTTCCATATATATAAGGACTAAAACACAAATCTATATTTTATGCCCACCTATGTATTAGATATACCAAATATTGGAAAAAAAAGAAGTGTCAAGATTAAGCTAAATAAATAATAGTCTCCTTAAAATTCCCTTCCCTTTAGACTTTTCCTGGAATAAAACAGTGTATACTTCTATTTCTTGTTTTATGATAAAGCATCCTTTGTGACTCTTATCTTACAACTAAATATTATGTGTTTTTAATTTTTTTTCAACATGATGTAAGCTCTTTATGTACAGATATATTTGTAATTATTTGCATGTCTAATTTTAGAAGTGCAATGATTAGGAGATAACCAAATATCTCATGATAAAAGAACTAACCCAGCCAAAAATGCTTCCGGTAGAAAGCACAGACAACTGAGAAGGCAGCGGCAGTAGCCAACCAACTAACCAAAGTGTCTGTGACGCTCCATGCAGTTAAAGAAAATCTATGCAGCAAAATTAAAAAGAGAGTAAAAGGTCACGTGAGTGTCCTTGGAGCATGCACACAGGAATTATGTGAGGCATCGCACCAAACTGTACCCAAGACTAGGAGCAACGGCTCAATAAGAACAGCTCAGCATGGCCAGTGTCTGTGAGAGTCTGCTCGTCCTGTCGTTTGTCCAGGGTGCATTCACTGACCTGGCCGGCACTGCTTTGGGACGTCTTCTATTCTCCATGGCCCAGTTCCTTGCTCCAACTTAAAGATCACGTCAGGTTTGGTAATGCAGTGGCCTGCTGATGGGAAATAATGTAAGACTACCAAATGCTAAGTCAAGTTCACAGCAGAAAGACCACACCTTTGGCAAACGAGTGATGGCTAGACACATCTGAACCTTCTGTGAGACGTTTCTATTCCTTGTGCTCGGGAACCATGCCTTTAGTAAGGAAAGTGAAATGGCTTGAGAAGAAAGCAAGCGGGGACTCTTGCAGGCCTGTGCTCTCAGCCGCTTCAGATGCTAAGGCAGAAGGAAGGCCAGTGCAAAGTCTGTCTGAGCAACTTAATAAGGCCCTAGCTAAGAATAAAAAAGGTGTTGGGAATACAGCTCAGTGACAGAACACTTGCCTAATCTACATGAAGCCCTAAATTAATCCCCAGCACTATAAACAAACAAACAAACAAACAAACACGAATTAGAAATCTAGGAATGATTTTAAGAAAACTAAGAGACATAATACAATTCAATAAAAAAGACAGAAGAAAAGAAAGACAAACAAAGAGAGAAAGAAAGAAGGAGGGAAGGAAAGACAGACTGACTTAGATATGTAGGAGACAGAGGAGACTGCAAACCAAAGTGATTCAGCTTTCAAGACGGCTCAGCAGGTCAGTGCACCAGATACAGAGCCTCACCATCTGAGTTCTGTCCCTAGCCCTCTGACGCTTGACCCCTAGGTGTATGTCATGGCATGTAACTGTACACACACACATACATACACACACAAATATACACACTATACATTTTTAAAAAAAATGTTCAAGCAATCTGAATTTTGAAGGTGAGACTCAACAAAAACTTAAGGAAAACAAAAAGATGAGTGTCTCAATGGCAGAGCTCTTCTGCAAAGAATAATGTTTAGAATAATGTAAGATTTTGTATTGTTTTTGTTTGGTTTTGGTTTGGGGTTCTTTTGTTGGTGGTTTTTGAGGTTTTTGGACATAGGGTCTCACTATGCGGTGTAGCTCTGGCTGTACTGGAGCTCACTATGCAGATCAGGCTGGCCTCAAACTCACCAATCCACTTCCCTTTGCCTCCTAAGTGCTAGGATTAAAGACATGTCAGATTTTAAAATGGAAAAAATTAATTTTATTTCTTTTTATTTTATTCTGTATGAATGTTTTGCCAGCATCTATGTCTATACACCACGTGCACGCAGTACCAGTGAATTAAAGGAAAGATGGGTGGAGCCCCTAGGACCAGAGTCACAGATAGTTGAGTTGCCACATGTGTACTCGAACCCAGGTCCTCTGGAAGAGCAGCCAGTGCTCTTAACTGCTAAGCTATCTCTCTAGCCCTCCAACCATCTTTTAATGAAGAAAACCTTTAAGACTTCTGATTTAAGCATTTGTGTGACTGGTGTTCCAAATACAATACAGATTGGACATAAAAACCAAACCAGAACAAAACATTCAGTCAGGCATGGTGGGCGCCACCTGTAATTCTCAGCATTCAGGTGACTCAAACAAGAAACTCAGGAGTCAGAGACTAGCCTGGACTACACTGCAAATTCCAAGTGAACTGGAAAGACATGGGAAAACCCTATTTCAAAAAACAAAACAAAACAAAAAACAAACAAACAAACAAAAAAACGATGCGGAGGCAGAGACAAGGGGATCCCAGGAGTTTGCCATCCATCCAGCCAGCCTAAACAGGAAATTTCAGGTTCAGTGAGAGACCCTGTCTCAAGGTGTCACTTGAGGTTTTTGTTTTTGTCAACTTGACAAAAGCTAGTTATCTGGGAATGGGAACCTCAGTTGAAACTGACCTGTAGGCAAGCTTGAGGAGAATTTACTTGGTTAGCTATTGATGTGACAGGGCCGGCCCCAGCTATGACCTGTAAACCAAATTTTTTCCTCGAGTTGCTTTTGGAATTAAGATACAGGGGATAAAGGGGGGGAGGGGGAGGAGGGAGGAGAAAGGGGAGAGAGGAGAGGAGAGAGAAGAGAGAGAAGAGAGAAGGGGGAGGAGAAGGGGGGAGGGGGAGGAGAGAGAAGAGATACCACTAACATCATCCTATCATCTGGCCTCCAAATGTTCATGTACATGTGTATGAACTTGCAAACAGTCATGCACACAAGCAAATACACTACACACATACACACACCAAATTTTTTAAGATCCAAATAAATAAATTATTCAGTGAAATAAATGACAAATAAAATCCAAATTCAAGAGAAATATATGAACTTCTAGATCCCAAATAAATGAACATCTAGATTTGTCACAAAAAAAAAAGGTTCTGATGTATAATAAGACTGTCAAAAGCAAAGCCTGCTTTAAAGGACTCCAGAGTGCAAAAGGAGTTCAACAGGTGAGGGCATAAGAGATGGGTTGACTCAAAGTTAAAACGAACAAACAAAAACAAAGCCACTGCCAACGGAGAACACTGTATCTAGAGGTTAACTTTCAAAAGCTGAGAGATGGACTTTCTAAAACAAAAACTGAAGGAATTCATCAGCACTAGATCAGCCTGTGGTGATTAATCTTGCCAACTTAATGGGGTCTGGAATCAGTAAGGAACAAGCCTCTGAGGGGATCTAAGTGGGTACTCCCAGGAAGAATTAGCTGAGAGAAGACCCTCCCCAGGTAGCAGCACCTTCTGTCAGCACAGATACAGGAGGCCCGAGGGGAAAGGGGTGCTGTTTGCTTGCCTGCCTGCTCTCCTTGGCTGGTGACTGTGCTCATCTCTGCTGCCAGTGACATTCTTTCCTGATATCAGACTCTACCTTCTTCAATTTCCACAATGGACTGAAGATCAGTGACTCTCCAGGATTCCTCCAGGCCTGAAACACTAGACTGAGACGACTGAGGTATCTGGCCTTGTGGACTGAGAAGTACTGGGTTCTCAGGCTCTCCAGGATGTAGCGAGCCATTGTCTGACAACCTTTCCCTATCAGCTATAAGATATTCTAACAACTCTCTTTTAACACACACACACACACACATGTGCGAACACACACATGCACACACAGTCACTGATGTTCTGTTCCTCTAGTGCAATGGTTCTCAATCTTCCTAACATTTTGACCCTTTAATATAGTTCATCATGTTGTGGTGACCCCCCTAGCCATAAAATTATTTGTGTTGCTACTTCATAACTGTAATTTGCTACTTTTAGGAATTATAATGTAAATATCTGTGTTTTCCAATGGTCTTAGATGACCCCTGTAAAAAAGTCATTTGACCCCCTAAGTGGTTGACTCACAACACAGGTTGAGAACCATTGCTCTAAAGAACCTTACCTAATACACAGGCTTAAGAGATGCTACACAATATGTGAACAGATCGTGACTACCATTACTGAAACACATGAACATATAAAATTAAACAATACAGCAAGATACACAAAAGAAAAATAAGAAAGTGGATAAATATAGAAAACCATTAAACAAAAAATTAACACAGAGGAAAAGAACATCGAATATAGCCACCCAAAAATGTCAGAAATATGTCCTCATTTATCAAAAATATTCTTAAATGTAAACAAAACTACTTCCCAGTATATATATAAACCATTTGAATAGACAAAAATAACAGATTCAGTGGCGTGCTGCAGAACAGAAAACCATTTATTAGGAAATAATACATGTGAACTGATACAAAGGGATGGCCCTAACATGCCAATGGGACCCAAAGCAACCAGTTCAAACAGAATCAAAACCTATAAAAGAAGAAGAGGCGGAGGAGGAGAAGGGATCGAGTCAAAGAGTCGATGTGTGAAGAGATGCACATGTGCTGAACACCCAGGCTGTAGAGCGCATGTCATCAGATCATACAGAAGAGGCAGACTGTAGTACAATAGTATCTGAGGACTGCAACAGCCACCAACAGCCAAAGGGCAGGTCATTCTGACAGGAAATTTACAGAGAACCGCTGGAATCAAAGCCTACAGGGGAACAAAAGAGTCTAAGAGACACTGACAGGCTGTGAGCTCCTGCTGAGAGCACCATTATCTCATGGCTGGTGGAGGGCACATCACTGCTCAGGACAGAGCAAATGTTAGGAAACAAAGGAAGTCCCAGCAAATTTAAAAACAAACAAACAAACCCCTGAATTCATAATGTCCTCTCTAATCACAAAGAGACAGATGATAGATAGATAGACAGATAGATAGACAGATAGATAAAATTGGAAATTATATCCTACCGGATGACTAATGAGTATGAAAGAAAGTAAGTTTAAAAATTAATTGGGGAGGCTGGAGAGATGGGTCAGCAGTTAAGAGTGCTCTTCCAGAGGTCCTGAGTTCAAGTCCCAGCAACCACATGGTGGCTCACAACCATCTATAATAGGACCTGATGCCCTCTTCTGGTATGTGTGAAGACAGCGAGTGTATTTGCATACATAAAATAAATAAATAAATCTTAAAACATAAATAAATAAATATTAATTGGAACAAATGAATGTTAAAACCGTAATTTTTTAATTGGGTCATCTCCCCAGCCCTATCCAGTAGTCTCTTTAATGAAACTGCTGAGCTAGAAAGACAGTAACATGGGCTGGAGAGATGATGGCTCAGTGGTTAAGAGCAGTGGCTGCTCTTCCAGAGGTCCTGAGTTCAGTTCCCAGCACCCACATGGTGGCTCACAACCATCTGTAATGGGATCCAATGCCCTCTTCTGGCATGCAGGTGTGCATAACAATGGAGCACTCATATAAAGTTCATAAATCCTTTTTACAAAGACAAGACAGTAATACTATTCAAATTTTACAAAAAAAACCAAACCAGACTCAGTACATAAAGGACCATTACGACTGAAATGATGGGCTTCCTGCTGCAGCCGCCATTGCAGAGCAGCAACCATGGCTCGAGGCTATGCGTGGCTGTTGGCCTCACCTCAGACCTCAGAGTGAGAAGGAACATGAACAAGCAGAGTCACTGCTGACGGTGCTAACGTCTCCTGAAGCACGTCACATTTCTGTGGGAATGTGCAGTTTCTGCCCTGTGAGTGGCACCCCATCAGATCTGCAGTAACTCCAAGGATAGTCAGCTTCATCAAGAAGGCTGTGAAGAAGATACATACCAGGGCCAAGAGGAAGTCGGAGGAGCTGACCAACACACTGGCATCGAGAAGTACTAAACTTCTTCTGCCTGTCCTCTCCCTTAACAAACCTTTATCACACAAAACAGACACACAGACACACACACAATATTGAATTCAATATTGATGAAATTTCCACACTATTCATGCTGACTTACCAATTCAATGGAATCCCCATCTAAGTACCAACAGCATTTCCATAGAACTAGGGAAAAAACAATCCTAATCTTCATAGAGAAACACAAAATACCCCAGGCAGTCAAAGCATCCTTGAAAAATAAAACAAATCAGTCGTTGTATACGGCAGAGCAACAGCACACAGGAACATGGTAAGACATACGGCAGAGCAACAGCACACAGGAACATGGTGAGACATATGGCAGAGCAACAGCACACAGGAGTACAGTAAGACAGCACAGAACTGGCATAAAAGTAGACAGACAACAGAACAACAGAAACAACGAGTCCAGACCTTGCAGCCATCTGGTTTTCCCCAGAGGCAGTAGGAAAATTTAGAAAGGAGGTTCTCTTCTCTAACTGGTGCAAACTCTATACTCTCATGTGTACAGAAAGATATCAGACCCCTATATCTTACCGTATTCAGGAATCTAATTAAAATATATCAGACATAAATGCAAGAGCTGAAACTAACTGAAATAAAAAACAAGGAAGCTGAATATCAATTCAAAGAGATTTTTTCCCTTTTTGAGACTGGCATCTCTATGTGGCCAGATGGGTCTGGAAGTCCTGGGTATAGTAATGCTTCCTCCTCAAGTTCCAGAGAACTGGAAACACAGACCTGCACCATCAGACCCAGGACAGAGATGACATGACTTCAAATCACGGCCATTTACAACAAAAGCTGACAACTGGGGTTTCATAAACAAAACCTTCTATAAAGAAAAGCCAATGCTAGAGTGAAGGTCAACCGACAGAACCAACGAAAATGTCTGCAACTGTACAAGGGGCTGATTCCTGGACTATATAAGGTAGTTAACAGAAAAAAAAATCAGTTCATTAAAAGTTGAGCAAATGACTTGAGTAGGTAGGTATTTTTCCAAAGGCATGCAAATGACTCAGAGACCCATCAATAAATGGCCAGTACCTGTAAACAGCAGAAAATGCAAATGAAAACCACAACCAAGTGTCACTACACTTGCAGCTGGAATATCCCCAAAATCATAAACAACAAATACTAACGAGGACACAGAAGAAGACACATTATCCTTCACTGGGAACATAAAATCACTATGAAAAACTAGAAATAGAACCACCTTTATGGTGCAGCTATCACTGAATATATTAAAAGAAAAATGAAAACAGTATTACCTTGATCATGAGCTCAGGATAATAGTGGGCTATATGAGATCTTGTCTTTAAAAAAAAAAAAAAGTATTTATGGGCTGGAGAGGTAGATCAGTGGTAAGAGTACTCACTGGTCTCCCAAAGGACCTGAGTTGAGTTCCCACCAACCACATGCCACATGGCACCTCACAACTATCTGGTGCTATCTTCTGACATACATGCAGACAAAGAACTCATATACAAAATATACATAAATAAATCTTTTTTAAAGGTACGTATGCGTAAGGGAATATTGTTCACTAACAAACCCAAACTTATCTTGGGTTGGAACCGAAGAATGTTTTTGCTAAGATAAGTAAGTCAGGCACAAAAGGACAAACATTGCACATCCTTGTTTGTATGTGGAAGATAAACTGGCACTCACAGAAACAGAAGCAAGAGTGGGTGACAACACCTATTAGAGTGTGAGGGAGGGACAGAGAGAAGATGGTTAATGCCCACGGCAGTGCAGCCGGATAGCCCGTATAACTTTCAGTTTTACGCAGTACAGAAGCATGACCATCATTAAAGTGATTCAGTGCCACAAAATAGCTAACAGAGGATTTAGATGCTCCCCATATAAAGATGTGATATGTCTGCATAGACCTGCCAATTTCTGGAGGTAGGTTTATACATGTATGTATGTATGTATGTATGTATGTATGTATGTATGATGTATAATAAATGGTATGTGTGGCTAAACAAACTTCAGGCATGGTTACTGTTCTTACTAACAAAGGAAGTGTTTTTAATACAGCTGGGGACTTTCACTCACCCAAGGACTCCAGGCTTCTGTAGGTCTCCAGCATCACGTCCCTGTAGAGCTTCCTCTGAGTGTCATCCAGGTTCTGCCATTCATCCCAGGTGAAGTCCACAGACACATCCTCAAATGACACCAACCCCTGTAATGAAACGCTTCTCCTCAACTCAAGCATTTGAGCCTATCGGGAGACAGGAATGTGGGAGTGTACTCTTTGTGAGTGTGTTTCCCACATGTTGCATCTTGGTTTATATTCTTTATCATGGGAGGGGGAAAACATTAATATCTTGCTTCTGTACTATTTGGTAACTCAAAAGACTACTCCTACAGATTTTTCCATTCCTAGCAAAAATGGATAAATTATATTCAGTAAAATATGCACAAGGCCCTGGGTTCAAGTAACACACACACATGCATGCATGCACACATATATACATACACAAGCATGCATGCACACAAACACACAAGCGCAGACATACACATACACACATATAAACACAAGCACACACATGCACATACATATACACACACACAGGCACGCATGCATACATGCATGCACACACACACACACATTTTTTTTTAAAAGAAGGAAAGAAAAAGAAAATAATCCCTGTCCATAAATGTCCTGGTAATCTAGTCTGAATGCAGATTTAGGCATACCTACATCCTTGAGGATTTTAATAATGTTAAAAGCACATATTGGTGAAGAACAGAGTGAACTGTATATATTCCTAGATACGTTTTCTAGGAATAATGGGAAAGTTCAATATTAAAAAGCACATTAATGTATTTCTCTGTTCCACTGGTGAGGGGTGGAGGTGATCTTATCATCCTAATAGGCATGAAAAGGCCATTTTCATTATTTATTTTATGCGATGGTTGGTTTGCCTGCATGTATGTATGTGTACCACATGTGTCCAGGACACACAGAGGCCAGGCGGCCTTGTACATCCTAGAACTGGAGTTACAGGTGGTTATGAGCTGCCATGTGGGTGCTAAGAATTGAACCCAGGTCCTCTAGGAAAGTAGACTATGTTCTTAACCACTGAGTCTTTTTTTTTTTTTTAAAGACAGGAGCTCTTTGTAAAGATTCTCAGCAAAGAATTCAGAACAGTCTTTCCTCTCATGATAAAGACTGATGTTTCTTAGCTGAAAAGGCAGCACGGCAGCTGAGGGAAAGAAGGACTAATATGGAAGCCCATCTTCGCAGGCCAGGTTTGCTAGACTGTGATCCCAGCACTTGAGAGGCAGAGGCAGGAGGATTCAAGTTTGAGGCCAGCCTGGTCTACAGAGTAAGACCTTGTCTCCAAAACTCAAACATCACCGTTGAGAGCCACATCCCTGAGCATCAGCAGATGTGCCAACCAAGTTAGATGACAAGAGAAAAACAAGGATTATACTGTCCTCGTCATTTAGAAGTAAAAACACCTGAGAATCTCCCGTAAAGCAGCATTTCAAATAGAAAACTCAATAAATTAAAACTATACAAACATTAAACTCTACATGTGAAAATATTCAGAAAAGGTGAGGGATATCCTTTAAAACATGCAAGTAAAGGAGTACCATATTCATGGAGTAGAACTTTGTATGATAAAGACCCTGACTCTCTGGAGGTCAATAAACTAATTTAACAGTAGTCCAATGGAAGCATCAAATTTGTAAATGTGCAAACAGGGATTTCAGAGTTTTTATGAGGAACTGAAGAAGCAAAAATAGGGTGTGATTAGTTCCGGTTCTGTTTTCCCCAGTCTGGGTCCCTGCCTGCATTGGCTGCTTTGGGCTTCTATAACTTATGCTACATTTTCTGTTCTGCAGGATGAAGACAGCAGCTGATTCAGTTCCTGCTGAGGCTTCTCCAAGCTTATATAGGCAACTTCCCCAATGTGTCCTCACAGTGCCGTGAGGACGATCTCCCTCCCTCTTCTTTTAAAGGCCATTAGTCCTATGAGATTGGGGACTAGCATCTTTTTAACAACGGTTACCTTCAAGGAGCCCTATCTCAGATTAAAGTGGCATTTGGTTTTAGTGGTCAGCCTCGACCTATAAATTCATCCACAGCATTTGCCATCCCTAACTCTGATGAAAAATAAAATACCTACTTGTAGTCAATCCAAAGAATCAGGTTTATAATCCCCCACTTAGCCTGGCTAACCAAACAGTATTGTACACGTAGGCTAGGACAACCTCAGATACAACTCCTCAGAGCCCCCTTCCCTCATACTATGGAACCCCTAGCCTCCTTCCTCAGAGCCCTGATCCCAGATTCCTGTCTTTAAATACTCATTGGTACAGTAGATGGGGTCCTTGAGATAAAGACAATGGGCAGGGAAGGGTGAGAGGACTCAGTACCTGCTGCTCCACTGCATTTAGGATGCCCCTCTCTGTGGACTTTGTTCTTCTACTAACAATGGAGACAGTAACACACATTTGAGTGTGTAGGCCTCATCCTGAACAAATCTGTAGTGACGTAAAGGACAAAAACACAATCTCTACCTCCTCCTATGAAAGTGTAGGCCCACCTGAGCCAAGGGAGGAGCTGAAGAGGCCACATCCAACAACCCCAAAACAAACCATATAGTCTAGTTTTCAACGATCAGGGCTTAACATCTTTTTAAAAGTTATTTTGAGTATTTTTGCTTTTGGTATCCATCACTGGAATAGTTCAGCTTAAGTACAATGTAAGCTTATGTTCCTAGGCTGCTGTATCTCTCCATCACTAAAGGGGATTTTCTTAAGTTTTCTTCTGTTTCTGCATCTACTGAAATGGTCACGTGGATTTTTAAAACTGTGTCTAATTAAGTGCATGCACACGCTCGTGCCACGGAGCACACATGGAGGTCTAAGGACAAGCTGTGGGACCTGGTTCTTTCCTTTCACCATATGAGTCCTGGAGATCCATCTCAGGTTGTCAGGATACTTTACCCACTGATCCATCTTGACGGTGATCTTGTGGGTTTTCAATTGTTGATGGCTATGGTGTATTACACTAGGTCATGTTTGGATAAAGAGTATGTTACATACATATAATTTTATATTTCTGTTTCTAGATAAGGTAAGGGAATAAGGAAGATAACATGCACATACGTGACCCATAGCTTCCCGTTTACCTTTACTGGGGCCTTGTGTTTTCTTGCTCTATCCGGCTGGGACCACCTCCAGTGACTGTAGGTGACTGGCCTCTTGTTGGAGCTTCTCTTCTGCTTTCCGGTTTTGAGATTTCGACTGGGGAGTTGGCTCAAGGAGTTCTCCACACCGTCAGACTGCAAGCGCCTCTATAAAAGCATACAATGATGCCCTGTGAGTGACTTAGAGCCACGTTTGCGCTGGACACAGTGCAACAACACATGAACTAAAGCAAAATTCAACAGAACAACCCCCAGGCTCCGGCAAAGGAGTCACACTATCGTCTTGTGTGCTCGGCAAATGCAGTGCCCTCAGTATATAACTCAAACCTTTTGCTAAAACTGTCATAAAAGCAAATGCTGGAAAATGCCTCAAAATGACTGCAAAATTGTTAGACAATATCACAGCAACACACCAAGTACTGATACAAACTTTGCTATAGTATTTATAGTATTTATAAAAACTTAAGTTTCTTTCCTATGCAGGACACTTTCAATAGTTTCTACCTAAAACTTATGAATTCTGTGGTATATAATGTAAATTATAGTTACAGGCCACTCAAAGATGCAGGAAGTCTGATTTGTTTTACTAACTGTTGTAAGTTCTATTTGAGATTTTACAAAGTTAGGGGAAATGGGGATTTTAAATGGGGTTTGAAAATATTCTAACCATTGTAAAGAAGGGCAGATTCTTTTGATGCACGCAGCCACACTTGTGACTAACTTCCTCCAACTCTGCCCCACCAGTAAAGCATCTCATACTGTGAATTCATGAAGGGATTAATCTATTCATGAGGCTAGAGCCATTGGAATGTCACCTCTGGAAAAGCCCTCACACAGCCAAAGGTGTCTTTTTAATATAAGCAACAGTCAGTCCCATCGAGCTGACAACCGAGTACCAAGCATATACACTTCACAAAGTTATGAAGATGGAAGAATAAGTGATGTATACAGAGCCACAGAGAGCGGATATACAATGACAGCAAGGGACCTGAATTCGGTGTGGAAGAGAGAGATGCTCTGCACGTGCCTTTTCACTACACTCTCCACACAGGCGGATAATGAGGAGGCTAGATAGCCCAGCCCAGGCTCACCCCACACCTCAGGCCGCTCCAGCATCCAGAGCTGTCACTGTTAGACACAGCAGCTGTGGCACCGGAGTCTGGACCAAGAGAAGGGTGCGGCTGAGGACGAGGGTCCCTGCAGAGTCAGGGAGTGAGGCAGCTCAGCCACGTCAAGACAGAGGGCGACAGAGGCTGTGAGCTCTGCCCTGCACAGGTCTCCCGGAGCCAAACCATCTGCACACGGCAAAGCGGAGGAAACGGGAACCCTAAGGGTTCCTGCGGGCAGCACTCACCATGGCGCCCCCGTCCGCCTCTGGCAGCTGACAGGCCTGAGGCACCCCGACAGCCCGGCTCAGCTGACGGATCAAGTGTAAAGATGGCGCGAGACAAAGACCCGCGAACTAGCGAACCGGCGAAGGCCCGCCCCTGTGCACGGGTGGCATTCCTGATTGGGTCTCGCGTCAGTCCCCGCCCCATCGTGCCTTGATTGACTACAGATAGCACCAACCCATGACTTGAGTAAGGCAGACTACCCGAATAGTGGCTGCTGCTAAATGTTTTTTGTTTTGTTTTGTGTTTTGTTTTTCAGGACAAGGTCTTGCTGTGTAACCCACGCTGGCCTCGAACTCATGACAATCCTTCTACCTCGGCTCCATGAGTTGAACACTATGCTTCCCTTGTCTACAGCTGTCAAAAGGTAAATTTCACTCCAGGTGGATGACGAGATTAGGCTTTAATCCAGTTCATAAAGTCATATGAATTATGAATTATATATAGGAATGTTATTCACCATTGTAAAGAAAACAATGACAATTATTGTTAAACTTCCAGTAACATTTTCTTGATTTTTTTCTTTGATCTTTGGCTCCAGAGCTTTGAACAGAGAAGCTGACAGAAACCATATGTTGAAGAGTATGTCAAATACAGATAAAATGTGATGCACATTGTAGTTTAAATTTTCCTGTAATTCACATTGAAAAATTAATCTGACTGCATTGATTGTAAATACAGGCCCCTCAAAGTGCACCCAATGCCCAGGCCTGGGCCCTGACAACCTCCAACCACTAGAGGCTCCGCCTATAGACAGCTCTAAAAGCCAAAAGGCTAGGTTAAGCTCCGCCCCATAGGGTAAAAAGCTCAAGATCAGGACTTCAAATTCCGCCAATCCCTGAGCTTGCCCCAAGATCCGGACTTTAAATCCCACCAATCCCCACACTGGAAAGCTCGGCGCCTGCCCCTTCCCCAAGAAACCCCATAAAAAGTCCGCCTCCAGCTCCGTTCTTTGCTACTTCTTTCCAGACCAGAGTGAGGTTTGTTGTGTTGTGTGACTTTGTGGTATTCTTCTGCTCCCTTCTGCCAGGACACCTTTTATGATGTCCTAACTTGGAGAGGCTTTCCTAGTGCCTGTGGTCCTCCTTGAGGTCTGAGCATACCGGGACCCTGTCCTTCTCCTCCAGTCCATCTGCAACAGACTCACCTCTGATTCACAGATAGCTCAGCTCAGCACCCCCACCCACCAGCGGCATTAAGTAGGTTTCCCCTTTGGTCAGTTGAAACTCTTCCCTGAGTCTGAGGAAGTGACTACTGAGTATGTAGCACCCCTCTGGTACTCTTGAAGGCAGAGGTACCCCCAGCCACGGTCTTTAAGGCTACGGCTGGCCCTCTGCACCTGCCCACACCTCCTGAGAGCTACTATCTTGCAGTGTGTTTAGGCTCAACGGAGCTATTGGGCCCCTTCCTGTCTTCTTTTACCACCTTCCCTTCAGAGCTGCCCATAAATACATAGCCCCCTCTAGGGCCTCGTGGCTTTTGTGACCCTGTTCCTGATTCTACATTGTGGATGAGACACCCCCCCCACCCCACCCCCTACCCCCACCCCCCCACTCCCGCCTTTAGAGTTGGATTCTCATCCTCACCTTCGGGCCGCCACAACAGCCCTGGTACTAAGTCTCTCCTCAGGTTTAGCCAGGCTAAGCCCCTGGTCCCTGTTGAATGTGATGACAACCCACTGAACAGCTTGTGCCTTCCTCTGGTCCTCTCTGAGTCCTGGGGATGCTTGTGACTACAGACTGCAGTGACATTTTTCCTTCCTGCCCCCTCTCTTATCCATGGGAACAGTGTCTTTTGTACCCTCTCATTCCCCCTTGGGATGCCTTTTAGCAAACTGGCACCCAACCTGAAGGGCCCTAAGCTTGTTCAGCTTTGCAGTAAAATTTGGCCTCAGTGCCCCTTAGAAAATCTATCAAAATGGCCACCTAATGGTGTCCTAGATCCCAATATTATTTGGGACCTCTACAACTACTGTGAGCTATCAAGGAAATAGGAGATTCTCTCTGTCCAAGCCTTCTCTCAGTACTTCCTGTTCTCCCAGCTCATCTTCTTCTAGCTATGAAGTCTGGAGAAGGTGGTTTCTTCACTACTTTTGATGCAGCTAATGTGCCTCCCCACAATCAGTCTCTACTCCCAGCTTCCTCTCCTCTACCCCCTTCCTTCCCCCTCAGTGACATGTCCAAATCAACCTTCCCTGGCACCACCACACACCAGCAGCCCTTGGTCCTCCTGCTGCTCGTTCCTGCTCCACCATGGCACTCCGTCTATGTCCCTCTTCCCACCCTAACCTGGCCCAAGCTCACCTTCCGTGGAAGGTCACCAGAGTGGATGAATTGGCTGTACCCATCCCTTTCTTAAGTGACCTCTCAGAAAAGAGGTTGGAATCTTATATTACTAATCCTTCCACTTTGATTAAAGAGTTCCAATATATCACCCAGTTTTACAGTCTCACCTCCAACGACATTCACAAAATTCTGACCAGCAGCCTTCTCCCTGAAGAGCACAGGCAAGTCTGGAAACAGACAAAAGCCACCAACCTAACACTGTCCACCCAATTGGGGCTGAGGCCGGTTCCTGATCAGGATCCCAAATGGAGCTATAACACCCCACGGGGCATTTTAGCTAGAGAGTAGTTTATAACTTGCCTCCTGGTTGGTCTCCACAAAGCTGCCCTAAAAGTGGTAAATTAGAGAAAATCCAAGAAGTCATCCATCACAAACATGAATGCTCTCCTCAACTCCTGGACTGCCTCACAAAGGACCTCCTACAATACACAAATCTGGACCCGGAGGCTCCAGGTGGGGAACTACTCCATATGACCTACTTCTCCCAGAGTTCCCCTGACATTAGGGCCAAATTTAAACACCTAGACTCTACAGACAGAAGTTTTAGCAGTGGCCTTTAAGGTGTACCATGAGAGAAATTTAAAAATGCCCCAAACAAAAATACCTGAGGCTGGAGAAATGGCTCAGTGGTTAAGAGCACTGACTGCTCTTGCAGGGGTCCTGAGTTCAATTCCCAGCAACCACATGGTGGCTCACGACCATCTGTAATGGGATCTGATGCCCTCTTCTGGTGTGTCTGAAGAGAGTGACCATGTACTCACATACATAAAATAAATAACACACACACACACACACACACACACACACACACGAGGGCAGCTAAAGCCTTTCAGCCAGTCATAGCAACTGCCTCCTCACTTCTGAAAGCCCCAAAACTTCCAGGTCCCTATTTCAAATGTAGTCAGAAAGGTTACTGGACCCAAGTCTGCTTGAGCCCTTGTAAACCTCCTAGACCATGGCCAATGTGCCATTAAAAGGGACATTGGGCTGTGACTGCCCCCACGTCCCTCACAGTGTGGGGACACCAGGCCTAAATCACCCTCTAGCTGACCTCTTAAGCCTGACGAAGGACAACTGAGGAGGCCTGGACTCCCTTGGCTGAACCACCACCATCTTCCTCAGGAAGCCCCGGGTAGTCATCATGGTATCAGATGTTGCACATCTCCTTCCTCCTGGATACCAGGGTCATCTACTCAGTCCTGACGGAGTTTGGGGAACCCACCTCTCTTGTTCTCCTGTTGTCAGGGTTAGAGGAAGAGCCTTACTAACCTCCCCAAATCCCACCACTTAGCTGTGTCTTTAAGGGGTAATCCCCTTACCCACTCCTGCCTAGTGGTATCAACCTGTTCTGTCCCCCTGATGGGAAGGGACCTCTAAGCCAAAGTAGGAGCCTCTATTTTCTTCACTCCCCCGATGCACTTGACTCCAGGCTTCCTCCTCTTCTTCCTCTTTCTCCTCCTCCTCCACTTTCTCCTCCTCTATACCACACAGTCTTGTAGTGGGAGATATTTAAATCTTCAACCCAAATAGGACCAGTCAATGAAAACACAACTCAGTAATTATTAATATATTCTGTAAGCCTAGATTGGGCAGATACCCCTACACTACTCTGTTCCCCAGCTATGAGACCCTTATAACTTGAGAGTTTTACAGACCCTTCGTTTGTCCTTCTATCTCCTGCTTCCCAGTCGTCCTCCTCCTTTGTCCTCTGTCATCTTCTCTCTCATCTCTTCTCCCCAGTCGTCCTCTCTCTCTTCTCTCCCCAGTCGTCATTGTCTCTGTTGTTTCTGTCATCTTCCTCATCCATTGTCTTCCTCTAGTCGTTCTCCACAGAGATGGAGACGACGGAGACGACAACGACTTGGGAGAGAAGAGAGGATGACCAGGGAGAAGAGAGGAGAGAGAAGTCGATGAAGGAGAGGACAACTGGGAAGCAGGAGGTAGAGGGACAAACGCAAGGTCTGGAAAATCCTCAAGTTATAAGGGTCTCATAGCTGGGGAACTGAGTAGTGTAGGGGTATCTGCCCAATCTAGGCTTACAGAATATATTCATAATTACTGAGTTGTGTTTTCATTGACCGTTCCTATTCGGGCTGGAAATATAAATATCTCCCACTACACAGTCTGACACACCTTTTCCCATTTATCAACTTCTCAGATGGATCTCTGGGGATGAAGCATCCAAAACCCCTTTATAGCCAAACATCATTCAGCTACAAAACCCTACCAATTATATCACCCAGGCTCAATACCTACTCTCTCTTTCCAAAGCCTCAGAAGACTTAAGCCTCATCTCTGACCTCTTAAGAATCTTCTGGGTCCCACTTCTTCCCTCTTCAGCACCCCATATGAGAATGGCCAATCTCAATAAAGATGACTTCAGTCCCCATCTAGTTCCTGCCATATGTCTTAAGAGGCCAGCTGGCAGAGCAGGACAGAGTCCCCCTAGAACCTCCTGGGCACCACCATCAGTCTCAGGAATCCATTTCACTTCTCCTTAAGTCTGTGTTCCCTCTGCTCCCCCCATAGCTGCATCTTATTATTCTTATGTGTGAGGCAATGAATGGAACCTAGACGCCACTGGTCCATGCTAGCTTTTGGTAAGTGTGATGGATGGGCACTCTAACACTCTGGGTTAAGCTCAGCAAGAGTCAAGAAAGCTCTATCACCCTCAGTCCACACCAGCATCTTTGTGACTATCAGGTAG